GTGTTTGTAAATAATTGGGGACATAGTATGATTACTATATCCTCAATTATGAATGAATGGGAAGTGATCTACATCACTTGCTACTTGCTCTGTCGTACGATAATCTCTACCCGGGGCAGTGGAAAAAAACGTTGTTTTGTTAAGAGTCTTAATCTATGTACCTGTGCCACATTCTTTTGTTCTTTAGTTTATTTAGACCCGCACAATTATATTCTAATTCACAAGCATCAGGATGGCAATTTGTGCTCTACATTGTACAGAAACAACACCATCCTAGAAGCAGAGAGTGGACAGATCGGGATAGTAGTATGTTGGACAATATCATATGGACTATATGTTAAGTCTCTTGAATAGTAGCTATTTTATATACTATATTTGGCTGGTCAAAACTTCCACTTGGAGTAGGTGTCTACATATATATTTCAAGCATCTCTACAAACATCAAGCGATTTGCCTTAATGAGACGTTCATCTTGCAAGCTTTGTTTTGCTTTAGATTGCATAACTCCTCAGCTATGACAATACCTACACTGTAAGCCAGCACTTGTGGATACGACCATATGTTCAATTATAGATTTCTTCATGAAGAAAATGGTTTAGTTGGTCTTCTAGCCTATAGATAACATTCAAGGATTTTAATCTGGAGAGACTTCTCTACACAATGCCAAGGTTTTCAAATACTGTAATGTGTATCACTTGCTGAAGTGCCTCTCAAGAACACAACTCCAGTGCATCGTGTTCTTATAGGTGTTTGCATGATGTTACATTTGCATTTTGATTCCAATACAGCCTTATGTGTGGAACAGACCATATCACAATAAATTATATAAATTACCACATGTGTAATTATTGTCCCTGTATGGAAAGAAAGAAAAAAAAACAGGCTAGCTAGGCTGACACCTTTTTGCAAATAAAAAGGGTTACAAACACTGCTGTGTATGTTATACATTGGAGAATCTCCCAAAACACAGAGCAAGGTGCTCTTTTGAGGTGTTGATGCAAAATATATTGGTTCAAATAGAGCTTGATTTGGGAAACACTTAACACTGTATATGAACAGATGAAAGAATCTCTACACATATGTAGATGTTGGTGCAAACATTAACATGTGACAAATGGATGGTCAAAAAACAAAACACACAAAGCTCACAAACTGCTGCATGAGCTTTTTTTTGCAGCAGATAGAGCGCTCCATTGAAATGAATAGGCTGCAGTATGCTTATACACGCCATCACTAACGCAGCTAGTGTGAAAGGGGCATATGCAACACCCATTGGGTTATATTAGTGTTATGAGATTTTACCCTGTTTGGGACCACCTCTCAAGGGAAAAAGGCATTCTCAAGACTAGTGATGGGCCGAACAGGCCCGAGTTCGGTTCATATTCGAACGTCTGAAAAGTTTGAATTCGAACTCAATGCAAGTCATTGGGGGTAGAACTTTCAAAAACGATTGTCCCCTTTAAGAGGTCTTATATGCAAGTTATTGGTCATAAAAGTGTATGGGAGTCTGGGTACTGCACTAGGGGACAGGAATCAATTAAATAAAAAATGTTTTTAAAGGAGCAGTGATTGTAACATCACTTTTAACATCACAGGGTAACCATCAAAATGAAACATTCCTTCAAATATCGTGCCTGGGGGGTCCCCTTAACCTGCAAGTAAAGAGGCAAATCTGTATGATGTATAGAACCTGCAGCAGCAAACTGACATTTCTAAAGAAAAAAAAAAGATTTTTTTTTTAAAAACTCTTAAAGCGTGCAGTTCCACCTCCCAAACAATACCAGACGCTTTAGGTCTGGTAGGAATGTTAGGAGGGACCATTTTTTTTTTTTAAAGGCGTAGGGTTCCCCCTAAAAGTCATACCAGACCCTTAAGGTCTGGTAGGAATATTTAGCAGGGACCCCGTGTAAAAAATAAAAAAAAAGTGTGTGGGGTTTCCCCTTAAAATCATTCCGGGCCCTTAAGGTCTGGTAGGATTTTAAAGGAGGAACCCCTTTAAAGGGGGGAGGGAAACATGGGGTTCCCCCTAAAATTCCATACCAGATCCTTGATCCAAGCATAGGCCTGGCAGGGCCGGAAAGGGGGGGGGGAGCAAGCGCCCCCCCCTCCCTCCCACACCAGGCCACATGCCTTCGGCATTGGGAGGGTGTCCCCATGCTGATGGGGACAAGGGCCTCTTCCCCACAATCCTGACCTGGTGGTTGTGGGGGTCTGCGGGCAAGGGGGCTTATTTGCATCGGGGTACCCCTTTAATTAAGGGAGCACCCAGATGCCGGCCCCCCTTTGTGAATGAGTAAGGGGTACTTGTACCCCTACCCATTCACTAATGGGTTAAATAAACTAGTTATTAAAAAGTCCAGACATGTTTTTGACAAGTCTTTTATTTTTCAGCCCCGATGCTGGCGACGTACACTGTACGTCGTCAGTCACGAAGGGGTTAAAAACCCAATAAATGTTTTCACCGACATAATCCATGGTCAGTCACGGCGTCCAGCGTTGTCCACGACGACAACAAGACCAAATAAAAAATAAAACAATAAAATAGAAATAATAATTTGAAAAAATAACGACAGCCGTCCCGTCCTCTCCCCGCGGACTCCCGCCGCATAATGGCATTTTGCCGGCAAAACAAACAATTGGGCGGAGCTAGTGGTGAAAGCTAGCTCCGCCCCAATTGTGTAGTTTGACATCATCTGACAGGATGACTTTGCCCAATCATGGCTCTAACAGTGTACTGAGCCCTGATTGGGCAAAGTCTTGCACCTGACCTGTGGTCAGGTGCACGCCTTTACCCAATTAGAGCTTCAGAAGGCGCATTGCCTTGTGGGATGTTGCGCAGTCGAACAGACCACGAACATCCCACAAAGTTCTTGCATTTTGGCGAACGCTCGAACAAGTGATGTTTGAGTCGAACATCCAGCCCATCACTACTCAAGACTTCAGGAGAATGTACAAAACAGGCTTCCGTTAGTAGGTAACAGGTAAAACTGATATACAGCAGCTTTATTTTGTATAAAAAGGTTGCATGGGCTAAACAAAATAAATTCTTGCAGTTGAGCACTCTAGTGTGCAGGTGCTTTTAGGGATTCCTGTGGCAGATACCTACAAATTCCTTCAACAGGAATCCCAAATATGCTACTTAGAATTGGCCGCCGTCACCCATTCAAGTTAATGAATAAGTGACAATGATTAAAGCGACACTAATTGCACGTGATGCGATTACATTCAGTTAAGAATAGATCACTGTCCGTGGACACATCTAAGGTGCATCCAGGAACAGACTAGCCTAGCCAGGCTAGTGTGAACCGGTCCTGACTCACAGAAAAATGGTTTGCAGCTATCACAGGTAGCTTCCTGTGCCCCAGGCCAGAGGAATAGCAATAAAGATAAAATGGTTTACGTACATTGTACTTGGAGCTAAAACCCTTATTAAACCTTATCTCTCTCTGTCAGTCTATTTTATAGGAGTTCCGACTACAGACTAGTTAATGTATAATTTAGAGGAGCAATAAGCAAGAACGTTGACTGTAAAAACCTGATGAAGAAGTTGAACTTGTAGGCAGGCTTAGTCATCAGCTTCATTTTAAATACATTTAGTCACAAACCATTCTTCACCGAGCCGGTATACAAAGTTTTGAAATCCATCACACAGTAAGTATGCCCTTAACTTGAGTACAAGCCCCGACAAAGCTGGTCTTTTCATCTTTAGTTCAGATATTGCATGTGGGTTGGCTGAAATTCTGCTTGAAACAACATCTTCAGCCCGGAAGGATACAAAATATTTTAGATCATAGAGAGATTGGTTGTCCGACATGCAGGAACAAAACTAACCTAACATACAAAATACTATTCCAGACACAATAAATATAAATTCTACTTAGGAACAATTTATCTGTGGGGAACTTTCATTGGTTTTGAAATCTGTTTTTTATTTTTCTATGTTTTACGGCTCATTCACACCACAGCGTTAAGATAAACCCTCAGCACCATGCGCTGGTGCATTGAATGGCAACCCAGTGCGCCTTCTGCCAGCTGTGCATTGCAGCACAATGAATGGTACTGCCATATTGTGCTCTGTAGTGCATAAAGTAATGCATGTCCTACATTTTGCTATCACAATGCATGTGAGGTGCATTTGAATGCCGTTCTGAGTGAATGACAATGTACCAGCACACCAAGAATGCACTGCACTACAGATACTGTGCATTCAGCACAATGCTAGGGTGTGAATGGATCCCTATTCCGGAGAAGGGACAAATAGTGGGAGAAATCTTGCATTTCTGTATTTCCATCCTAGTTTGGTTTTCTGATGTTTAGGACTGAGATAACCTGTGACATCAGTAAGGATGTCAGATAATACACAGATTGAATCGGAGCTTTTCTCCTCTATACTATTCTGTCACATAAACAAACAATCTAAGCCATTTTAGGATAGGCCATTGTAACATAAATGGATTAAGTGAGAATTCTGTATTTACTTTTTTTTTTTACATTTAAGTTTCTATTGAATACAAATATCAAGATGAATAAAACACTAGAATTCTGTATTGACTTTAGGCTCTATGAAATGTTTGGTCAGAACTTAGTTGCTTAACGAGACTGGAGCAGAAGATAAAGAAGTATATTTTGTACAATGACAGCTGTGATATCAGACTGAACAAGTTTGTATTTAGATCTGTATCTGTGGTAATATTGCATGAAACATCTGTCTTATAAAAACAGATAGAAGCAAAACTACCACCACCCAGCCTGTGGGGAATTGCAAGCACAGACATGCACATCTGTTGAAGGGAAACTGTGGCTTGTGGTTCCCCAGCAGATCAGCAAAGAAGCCAGCAGAGCATACTGGTAATTGTAGTTCTTCGATTACTTAAATTCTGCAGATTGACAACTCTACTCAAAAATGAAGAGAGTGCCTCAAAAAATTGTAGATCTGTGTATGATTGTAACAATCTTCACAGACACAATATGCATTAAAAAGGTATACAAAATGCACTGACCTTACTGTAGATATTTGGGGTCCAATATTAGGGTCCGAATTCATCCAGTTGTCTTTTTCAGTGCCATTTGTGTGTTCCAGGGAGACACGGGGAGAAGGTGTCAGTAAGAGCACAGATTGAGTGGTGGGAGGAGCTGTCTGTGGGATACTTCCTCTTGTGCATTCCACTGTGCAAAAGTGTCAACCCAGTTCCTGAGAGTCACGTGACCACAATAAAAGGGCCAAGCATACAGGTAAACTCACCTGGACAGGCAAAACCATTACATCGTTTGTCTGGATAGCATCTGATGAACTGTCTGGCATTTTATACAGCAAATGAGAGTCACAGGGGTTAAAGGTACATTGAAAGCACTTTCAGTCCTGCGTCTGATTTATGAAAATGCGGCAGAGAGATTTGTGCAGTGTTTTACAAGTGTGATCACTGTAGCCCTGCCATATACAGCTAAATGAGTGCATTACCCAACAGTGCTTACAATTTAAACACAAAGTGCGGTCCATTTCCTGCCTGCCCGACGGAATCACACCGCACACAACTGAAAAAGGTACCATGGGATTTGAGTACGGTATGTTAAATTGTAACAAATCAGACTATAACGACTTTCAATCAGATACACCTATGTGAAAGGAATATGCCAAGAGAAAAACAGTGAAATATAAACACTGGGAAGCACAGCCTGTATACTGCATGTAATGAGCAAATAATGCTGCCCCTATTATACAGATATCATTTCAAACTATAAACAAAAAAAACAGCATAAAACACTTACTTACATATATATATATATATAATGAATAATTTCAGGCTCAGTGCTGTTCCAGGTACATCTACAAAAACATCAAAAGGGACTGTAGCTTTCCTTTAAGCCAGTATACGTTGTGTGGCTTTGGAGCTTTGTCAGGCTTATGTGCAGTTTACATGGCAGTATTAGCACACCACAGCACAGGAGATATGGGAGATGACTCAAAATAGCTGAGGCTTCTCCTTTGTTCTCTTCCCTTTTTTTTGGCCGCTTTTTTTTCCATCCCCCAAAGTTACAAAATAACATTATTTCAAAGCTGAGCAGAGAATCGTGGACTGGCCGAGCGATGGGGTAATATCCACAGGAAGTTTTCTGCTCTAAGAAACTCCAAGAAAATATTCTTAAAGAAAACAATAAAGTCAATGAATTGTTTAGTACATGTTTATCTGAATTTCACAGAAATTCCTTTTGTACAGACTCTAGAAAGTAAAATGTTAAAGAGTAACTCTGGGCAGAAATTGTATTAATCCTTACAGTGGGACTACCCCCACTGGGACTACTGAAAGGGTTACCTGTTTTTTTTTTTGCCTGGGGTAAAAAAAAAAATAAAAAACACGCCTAAACCTCCAATTCGGCCAACTCCGAAGCGCATTCTTCGGAGCGCATCTCCCCCTCCTCTGCAGCAGTCTAGGAATCTTTGAGTCATCATGTCTAATACAGTGTATTGGACGTGAGGATGCCGAGGGACATGCCATCGCTGCAGCGGAGGAGAAGAGAGGATGGAGGGAGTGCTGGCGGCTCAGAGGCTAGGGTGAGTATAACTTTTTTGGACCCTAGGCAAAAACGAGCAGCTGACCCTTGCAGTGCGGGGGTAGCCCATTACAATTTCTGCCAGGAGTTCTTCTTTAAAGCTAAACTTCGGGCAGATATAAAAGCACAAATAAAAGCAACTCTGTTATCGTCAATGTATTAAATGTATTTTTCCATTTCAAGCAGGGAACTTGGTATCAGCCTCTTGTAATCTACAGGGAGAAGCAGCACAAAGAGCAAATCAGGTGTACGGCTGTGCAAGAAGCCACACTGGCAGGAGGAGAGAGCAGGCTGACAAAAAGATGATATCTCAGTCTGCTGCTTATCCTTTAACTGTCCAGTCACAGGGTATTGATGGGGAGGAGAAAAAAGACAGGGTTGTGTTATGGGCCAGAACTGTGTAACTCTCAGGACTGAATAGGCAGAAATAAAAATCATTTGGCAGGTAAAACAGCACACATATACTGTATGTATAGTATTTCATCTGTGTATTTAGATGTTTTCCTGCAGTTCAGCATTAACATTTTGTTTATTTTCATTAGCAGGACCTTCTAAAACAAATTGTAGACAAATGTTGACAGAATTTTGCCAATGAACAAAAAAAAGCTCAACCTTTTTTTGGGTACAGCAGATATTTCAAGAGCCTGCAATGACTCAACACCAAAAAGTACTGGAGATAAAAATGTGCCATCTTGGGTCCAAGGTCAGGGTGTCACTTAGTACATTTGCAGTTAGGCCTCATTTGTGGATTCAATGATACAGTAGAGCACCAAGTTAATAAAATGGCAGCACTGTAGAATACAGTAGATCCCAGCAGGGCCAGATTAAGAGCATCACGGGCCTGGTGCTGAGGATCTGGTTGGGCTATTTGTGGAAATGGCGATGGTCACAAGGGTCCTCTTCTTCCTGTCCGGGATGTGATTTGTAGTCTCTCTACAGCTTGGAGTCAGTGGTGGAGTGCCAGGGCCCGCTTGCAGCTGCGACCCTGGTAGATCTGCCACCCACTCCAAGCTGTAGAGGGACTACAAATCTTAGTAATACATTATACAGCAATGCAGAATACTGCCAACTATAGGAGGACTACAAATCCAAGTAATACATTACACAGGAATGCAGAATACCACCAGCTATAGAAGACTACAAATCCCAGCAATAAATTATACAGCAATGTAGAATGTTACCACTAACTATAGAGGACTACAAATCCCAGTAATGCATTACAGAATACCACCAGCTATAGAGGACTACACATTCCTGCAGTACATGGTAAAGCACTGCAGAATAATAGCCTCAGCAATAGAGGACTACAAATCCCAGCAATACATTGTAAAGCACTGCAGAATAATATGAAGCTACATACTCTGTGTTGCTCTGGATTCACGGCCTGATGTCTTTTTGGTCTTAGGTGGCCAATGTGCTTCTCGAGGCAAGTGCGGGCTCTCAGGCGTTCAGTGCGGGCTCCAGGCGGGTCAGGTCGGCCGCGATTGCGGTCGGGCCGGCTCTGCCGGGCCTATTTGCAGGGACAGGCCTGGAGCAGGAGCTCCACCCGCCCCTATGTTAATCCAGCCACGGACCCCAGCATGCATGAAACTGTGGAGAGAGAGTATATAGACAGAGCTCAGGACAGTTTTACCAGCAGTATTTTAATATACTGTCTATATATATTTATATTAATTACACACACTGTATATATTAGAGGTGCACCGTAATTAAAATTTCAAAGCCGAAACTAAACCAAAATAAAAAAATATGTCAGGCCGAAACCAAAAATGTTTTTTATTTTAACTTTGTAACTCTTTTTTTGCAGCCCCTGTTATCAATAAACAGGAATCCTCTATACTGAATGTTCCTCTTCATTTAATACATGAGAACATAGTATGTTTACCATGTCGACAATCATGAATGAACAGGAGGTGATGTAGATAGGATATAGTAAACATACTATGTTCTCAATTATTTACAAACACTCAGGCCTGGTTCACACCTGGGCGTTTTGTAGCGCGTTCGAACGCTCTGCAAAACACTCAAACACCGAAATCCCATTATTTCCTATGGGTATGGTTCACACCTGGGCGTATCTCAGCCAGTCTGAACGCGCTACAAAATGGCCTACGCCCAAAGAAGTACAGGAGCTTCTTTGGGGCGTTTTTGTCGCACGTATCCATTGGGATACAGCCAGGTAGCCCTCGGAAACGCGGTAAAACCGTGCGAAACAAAACGCGCGACAAACGCACATATTCGATACGCCTAGGTATGAACCCAGCCTCAGCGATCACTGATCCCTGAGTGTTTGTACCGCTCTCCTTCCTGACTTGTGACATTCGGACGGACACAGAGCAGCGCCTAGCAGGAAGGAGAGAAAGAATGGATGCACCACTGTATGGGCATTATGGCATAAAAGCCATTTTTGGCCTATATATTGGTGCATCCCTAGT